AGCAGGAATAGAACCAAAATAACGCCCTCTACTGTTCTGATCTCTAGATCTCTTCCTTTTCTTTCCCTTGCTTTGATTTTTGGGGTGATGAAGTTTGCATTTCGTTCCTTCAGAACAGGTTCCTGTTGCTTCAAAAGTAGGACATACATAGCTGTGCTTCTTCCGACACTGCGTAAAAACATAAATTAGCAAAGCATTAGGTTGAGATCACAAGGAAACGGAAAGTGTAAGAGTGTAGATGAGGAGGAGTCACTAAATAAAGCAAAACTTTCTCCAGAAGGGAAACAACTTTAAGTGGAAATAACAGACAAGGGATTATAATTTGACAAATAACAAATACAATGAGCAATATGACAGATCATCAGAATTAGCAATCAAACGATTACGGAAAAAAATAGGTTACAGGCTGAAACTAATAACCACTGTAAGCACGATGAAACATCCAATGCTGCATGTTTTTTCTTAAAAAATATAAATGTGATGAACATTCATAAGCACACAAATTGAGTTACTTATGGTAAAATAAGTAAAAGTTAAGTATTCAAATTATGCAGTAGCTCAGCAGAAAATTCAACATGATTGGTTAATACCTCATTCCCATTAGCACAATAACCCTTGAGAAATCCTTCACAAATAGATGCCTTGGGGTTCACATTGACATGTCTATATGGACAATTTCTGTTTGAGCATAAGCCTGCCATGAAATATGTTACAATCAAATTTTCATATTATTCACTTGATGAAAGACAACTGCCTATAACACACCTTGCAAAAAATAAGAACAATCTGGCATTCTCTCTGGAATAACCTGCATAACAAATCAATTAAACTCAGACTTTAGACAGATCCGTAAATGCAATAGACCATATTCAATTTCTTGGACCCCATATATTACAAAACCTTGTGTGTCAATTTGCAGTTGGGAGTAGAACAAAAACCATTCAGGAACTTAGTACAGACAGCGATTTTTGAGGGATCATGAATATAAGGACACTTTCCTCCATCCTTTTTACATTTCCCAAATCTAGTAAAAAATTGACAGTACTTCTGCTTTCGAGCCAACCGCTGTCTAGCAGTGTGCAAGCTCCATCTAACTTTTTCATTTGCCAATTTTCGACTTCGTTTCTTTGGGTCTCTGATAAGCTGGTTACCATTGCCAATTCGGACATACCTGCAAATGTTGATGGCAAGCATTCAAATAAAACTGCAAGAGTTAATATTATATGATCTTTTCCTAATTCACCTAGTTTCATCTAATTGACTTGTTAAACAACGGAACGAACAATGATGAAGTGTGATGCACAGAAGATATAAAAGATGGTGAAGAACAATGCACATACTCATCGTTTCCGATCACTAATCTCCTTGGAATGTAAGGTCTTTTGGAAGCCAAACCTGTACAGGAAGATGTAGAGGGCAGGGATTCATCTTCATCTACAAAGATAATTAAGAGAATTTTTTTACGATGAACATAATGATTTCTAACTTGCATGAGAAAGACAGCAAAATATTTCAAACAATATAACGATAGGAAAAGGACAAAAAGGCCATAGTTCTGATGTTCAGCACAGCAAAATATTTCAAATTGAGAAGGTTTGAATGATACTTTGGCACTTTCTTCCTGCATCTTAACCATCACACAAAAATTGACACAAAAAAAGACATCTTTGGTCGTCCTTCACATAATTTTTGGAAGCAAATACTCACCCTAAAAAATCAGAAAACTTCCAAGTACACATGCAATTTTTCAGAATTGAATCAGCAAATGAATCAGTAAAACAGTTTAAGGTTTTGAGGTAAACCAGGGTTGAACCAAGGTGTTACACACATCAAGAAAGAAAAAATTCACATAGTTATGTTAAATGTATAGATAAAACCAAGAATATATATATATATATATAATTATATATATATATATATATATATTAACATTAAATTGATTTATCACATTAACAAGTAAGCTAGAAGTATTATACTAATACTAAGATGTTGGGTACCAGAGGGAAAATAAAAACTGCAACAGCGGAAGCACACACAACAAGAGAAACAAATTAAAGAAACAAACTCAAAAATTAACGTGGTTCGGCACTTCTTGCCTACATCCACAAACAAATTTTTACTAGCAATTTTTACAAGGACAAAATTGCAAAACCTCTCACACAAGTTTTCTGGAAAAACTTTTCTAACCTATATTAGCCCTGCATTGAATAAGTGAAAAGGGAAAGACAACTAACACTCACAAATTGGACAAATTAAGAGGGGGAATGTTGTGTTTTGATCATAAATTAGGAATAAATAATCATTGTAGTAAAAAATAGACAAGTTCAACTGTCTCAAGTTCACAACTCAAAATGGTTCTAGATCAGTTTTTGGCTTCTTCCAGGTTTTCTAGGGTCAATTGGACAGGTTACATGACCAATTCCTAATTTTTCTGGTACATCTTACCAGTTCTAGATCAGTTTTAAGGTAAATAAGGCAAAGCCTTTAAAAGGTGTATTATGTATGCTGTAATTTGGTGCTTCAGAATAAAAAAGAATAAAAAGGAGACTGACAAGCATTGACTAGCTGACATGCCTTTTGGCTTGTACCAAGGAGGATTTCTAAAAGTTCAGACAATCAAACATTAAAAGCTTGACCTTAAAGAATTGCAACTTCTAGTTAATTATAGAAAATTGGATTGAAAACCAGAATCACATGAAATTACAGAAACAGACTAACACAGAAAGAAGAAACTAGGCTAGATCTCGGAGGGGCAAGCTTGCTCTCAAATCTCACTCTTTCAAATGAATTTTCTTCCCTCTATTTTCAAGCCTCCCTAATATTCTATATGATTCCCTTCCTACTACCACCCATCACCTGGGAAAGGTCTTTAAAGCCTCAATTCCAAACTTGATCCTTACTCACACCACCCTGGCTGCCTCAAGTCTCCAAACTTGAACATACCTCCAATATCAAACTTCAAAAAAGGAAAATATCTAAACTAAACAAAAATGTGTTCAATGTCAAATCATACATCCTCAGGCGATTGGAGATCAGATGCCTAAGGTAATTGTTAATCATTCAAAGGTTTAACAGTTGATAGTTGATATTTGTCATCAATAAATAGAAAATACAAACTTGCTATCTAATCTGAGCAATGCTCTAATATACACTCCCTGTTAAGTGAAATGAATAATGGTCCAAAAGCATGTATTCATTTAAATCATTGTAATATGTTAAGAAATGAAAAAAAAAAAAGTTAAGGTAGCACAAAATCCAAGTAAAATGGTATATCTAAAAATGTTGACCACCTGAAATCCTCTGAAGTGTCCTCCTGGAAGGATCCATTCTGTATCGAACTGAACCAATACGAAATATACGTTCTCCTGCACAATCAACCACTACTTTCAAAGTCAGAGGAACATACAAAGATAATAAATACATGAAGCATATGTTTTAATGGCACAAAAGCAGAGAGTTGTCGGCATTGATACGACGAACACTCATGGAAAGAATGCTTCCTACTCTTTGACTGAGAACCGATGCAAACCGCATTTTTCTGCTCTCTCTTCTTCCTCTCCACTGCAGCAACAGCAAGTGTGGCTTCCTAAATGATTACAAGAAATTGTATAAATCATAGCCAAGATCTATTTTACTTGATGTAAAATAAATTATTGCTAACTTAATGAAAATCACAGTAGTACAAAACGCCAAACCAACCTCATTAGCTTGCTTTGAGTTCTTCTCAATGGATTTGGACCATTTTAAACTACACCCACCAACACCTAAAACTCTGGATTTCCAAAGAGAAAACCCATGGGTTGACCTAGTGTAAACAGTATCCCTCTTTCTCAACTGAAGCAATTTTTTGCTGAAACACAAACATTAATTGACTATTGCAAATTTGTAATTGAATATTGTTGAGGTACACAACAAAAATCAGTTAAAAAGCAAAAATAAATGAAGCAATAAGAAATACTCAAGTACCTGATTGAAGATACAGAACTACTATTGAAGTTTGAAGCAGAATTATGAATGAAGTTTCTTAAAAAAGTTGTTCTTTTCCATGGAAACAATTGAGGCCAAACCTTCTGATATTGTTGCCGTGAGTCCCTATCATTTTTAGAAGAATTTTTGCTACAGAGCGTCCACACTAATGAGGCTCTTGAACGTTTGCAAGAACTCCTAGAAACTGCAAATAAAACTTCTAATTAAATGAAACAAAACATATAATTGGAACAGCACCACCGGTTAAAAAGTCCTCTGCTAATGGTAGTTAAAACACAATGATCGAGAACATTAAGCAACATTAGTAAAATCACTTCACTAGTAGCTCAAATCACGCATGAAATATTATTCAAAAATAAATGCAAAGAAACAAAAAGGGAAGACATTTAAGAAAGGCTAAAGGTACATTTATTACCAATTTGCAAAGAAATACTTGAAAGAACATGCAATTTCTAAACAAGCATATAAGATTAACAAAATAGGAAGATGAATATGCAACAAATACAGTTGAAGTATGTGTAGCAAGTAGCAACTAATATACAGGCAAGGACAGGAAGCAATTTACTGCAGTTGTTAACAAATAAACTATTATACTCTACTGAACATATTATTTGAACCTCAAGCAAAAAGAAGCATATCCTTTTTCAGTTGCATCCTGTCTAATCCTGATGAAACTTGGCAACAGATCATATAAGCACAGATAAGAGATATAAATTAGGCAACATAAGTTCTTCACGCATACCCTTATGTGACCGCTTCTTACTAAACCTCCTGATGCAAAGAGCATTACTAGTTCCTTGTCGTTCAGAATTTGTGGTGCTTTTGGGCATTGCAACTGTCTGGTTGACATGGCTATCAAATGTAGTCCTAACCAATTGATTTTTTCTTCTCTTGTAGTAGCCATCAGAGAAGGCAGTTTGGCCATTGTCATCAGTAGAGACAGAAACATCACAAGAATTTGAAGTTGCAACCAATTGATTTGTTTTGGGCCTTATATATACCATTTTCTTTGTATTCAAAGAAAAAGTATTTCCATTGTTTGCTTCAATTTGGCTCTCCCCATTATCAGATGGACTAGTTTGATTTTCTGGAGTTTCATTATGCTTCAGTGCATCTTCAGAATAGTTTGGTGCATTATTATTGGTTTCTATAAATTTCCTAGGATCTGATGTACTTTCACAGAAACCCCCAGATTGTGGTTGTACGAATGAGGATGATGTATTTTCCTCTGATTTGGTGTCAATTGGAAATGGAGGTGTTCTCTGCTTCTGCTGAGGAGCATTTGTAGCTCCTGTACTCAAGTGCATTGGTTGATCTGTCACACCAGCCCTGCTTTCAGACATGATGCTTTTTGTTATTTCATCAGCCCTGCTTTCAGATTTAATGTTTTTTGGTATTTCATCTAAGCCCAAAGAAGATGACTGCTTCACAGAGAAGACTTGTGGTAGAGCAGAAACTGGTGTAGCTTTCCTTACGAGACTGTTACCTTTACGAACATAAGAGGTATTTTGAAAGTTCACTTTCCTTTCTAGAATTGGCCTTTTGGGAGGAACTGTTCCTACTGAAGGCTTGATTCTAGGTAGAGAAGCAGGAGGATTATTATCTGTACGATGCCAAGTTCTGGGCTTTGACACATGAGTTGAAGAGGTAGATGTCTTGGTCTTTGACTTCAAAAAGGTGAAAGAATGACCTGGAAAAGTTTTGAGAATGACACCACCTGACTGATTTTTGGTCCCACTCAACTCAGAACGATGTGAATTAAGGGCCTGAGTTGTAACTTTGGAAGAAACTTGTAATGGTTCTGACCTTGTCTTCTTTGTAATCAGGTTACTCCGTCCAATTGCATGATCTGTCTTGATCTTTTTTGTCTGCTGTATTGATGAAGTAAAAGTATTTAAGTCAGAACCATGTTCAACCATAGATATGTTATCTGGATTTTCTTCATCACCACAAATATTTTCATCATGGATTGCAGTATATTCTATAATACTTCTACCCGGTACTGAAGGTGCCATCCCTTGTGAAAACATATCTGACAATGCACCAGGTGCATCCTCAATCAATTCGTCATTTGAATTACTTGTTGTGACTTCATCACTGCTGAATGGATGGGACATAACGTTCTGCTGAGAAAGCAAATCATTCTTCATATTGAGATCATTAGGTTCCATATCAGCCATTGGAGACTTTTGCACAAAGTCTCTATACCGGCAATTTTCTTCAACAGCCGGTAAATCAGTCTTTTCTCCAATTATATTTCCAACTACCAAAACATCAGTTTGAGTATTACATATAGGGACAATTGGAGTAATGTTTTCTCTGCACTCACCTTCCAATGATGAGAACTGAACATTTGGAAATGCCAAGTCCTCACATGGTGAAGAATTGACAATATCTGAGTTCTGCAATTCCAAATACTCAGAACTTGTGGTTTCCTTATTTGTATCAATAGACTCAAAAGATCCTCCAGCCATAATATTGTCAGACAATTTAGTAATATCCTCTGAATAAGGCATTGATTGAGCAATAGAGGGAATACATGTAGCCATGCTTGACAAAGCAACTTCTCGCTGATGTTTTTGGTTACCACTGAAACCGCTAGGAGCTTCAGCACCAGATGTGGGAGTCACAATCACATCATGGTATTCTGATTGACTTTGAGTGAAATTTGGGTGACTAGCTGTGACTTTTTTCCTTTTAGAAGCTGGTGAAACCTCATTTGCATCATCATTGTCATTATTTCCAACATAAACCTTAGCCTCTAAAACCCCCCCTTTCCTATGTAAAGCAGTGACCCCATCCAGGCTGGATTGTGAGTTAAAATCTATGTTTTTAACAGATTGATTTAAGACTTTTGAAGGACATGGATCTTTCAACAACAGACTCGAGTCTCCATCCACATTATTTGGCAGGCTAAGTAGATTTACATGGTCTAGAGATAAGCATTCTATATCTGTACCCAAAAAATTTAATTGAGTTCTAGCTTTTCTCTTTTTTATCTCACTTGTGTCCCCTTCACCAGATCCAACTGAAATATTAGAATTTGGAAATGTCTTTTGTGTCTCACAATTCTCAGGGGATATGATGACATCACTAGGGGACACCTGCTTTCCAGCATCATGCATGATACCAGAACAGTGAACACTAATACAATCTTCTAAATTAGATGATCCGTTATCTGAAGTGTGCTTCAGTGCACTAGCATGTTGCAGGCAATCTAGACCATCCTGAATCCTAGTTTTTTCTGAACTTGAAAAGGTATCACTGCTTTTGAATAGTTCGTCACCTACATCTACAAGATTCCAATTCGGTGGGGATCCTACAATTGAATATTTCCCAGGTGATAGAGACACTTCATTCAGACATAAATGCTCATTATCATAATCCATGTGATTGACTTCAGGAATAGTACTTCCATTTAAAGATTTAGTAACCTTGTCAGTATTTGGCAAAGAACAATTTGTATCTAAACAATCAGAAGTATTTGCATTATCATGGACAGAATTATTTGCATCTAAACAATCAGAATCACTCTTCTTATCCTGATTACTAGAAGCACAAGATGGAAAATTTGAAATGTTTCCATCTCTTTCAAACCTGGATACTTTCCCAATATCAGAATTTTTGTCACATTTACACTCTTGCGACCTGGAATCTGGCCCCAAACTCAGTTGCAATAAACCTCCCTCTTTATCCTCTTTCAATGAATTATCTTCCTTTGGTAAATTGTGCAAACAATCTGGCTCAACAACCTTGTCAACAATGTTGTTTTTCTCATCCAAATTAGCTTCAATTTTCTCCGGAACAGGGGCAGTTGCAGAACTGACTGCTACACTCTCTGCTTCAACAGTTTGAGGAAGCCTATTAGCTGGTACCGATTTCAACACAGCTGACTTAGAATTTGCAGTTCCTTTCTTCACAATTCTCTTAACAATTTTCTTCTTCTTAACAACCCTGGGGGCCGATTTACCAGAAGAAACATTGCCAGCTTTAACTGAATTCAGCACCTTATTTTTCCCGCGAGAATCATCAGCCTCCCTGGCAGAAGGCCGGGAAGAACTACCATCAACAGTCTTCTGCACACTCACCTCCTTCTTCCCTGAAATAGAGCTATCATTCCCCTTGAAAGGCGACCTATTCAAATCCACAATAACTGAAGACACCCTAACCGGTTGCAAACCAGAATAATCACCATCCGGAACCCTTTTACTCCTCTCCCCATAACCGAAATCTGAATCTAAAACCGGAGTCACATTCAAATCAGGAACAGAAACCGAACTCAAGGGTGGTGGTGGCGGTGGGGGGGGCACAAATGCCTTCGCTCCAAGCGAATTGGGGTCAAAAGAAATATCAATCTCAACAGGACTCCCCTCTCTCTCATCTCTCTCCTCCCCCTTCACCCCATGCCCCAAATACTGCTCCTTCCCCCTGAAAAACTCAGAACCATAACCCTGGTACCTTAACTGATCAACCTCACGGTTCCTATGGTTACTCGGCTTAACCGTCTGAATCCTAAGAAGCGCACTCTTCTTCTGCACCTGTTTCTTAGGAGGGGTGCGCGCGAATTCATGAGCACACTCTCTACCATTGTTCCCTCTACTAAACCTACCCAAATCAGAGGCATGGTGATAATATTTCTCATTGTTAGTACTATTCACTAAACTAGAAGAAGACTCGTGCAACTCTCTCCCCCTCTCTCTGTCACTCATCAACCACCTCTTGGACCCTCGCCCCGCCACGTCAGCGTCGCATTCCACGCTGTACACGCGGACGTAGCCGGGGTCGGGATCGCCGTCGCCGTGGTAGTTACCGGCGCCGCCCCACGCGAACGATTGTTCGGCGGAGTTGCGGTCGTAGGGATCGGCGCGGTCGCGGTCGGGATCGTAGCGGAGAGGGTCGATTTGCGGCGGGGGAGGGCGGTGGCGGTGGAATTGGCGGTCGAAATCGTCGGGGAGGGAGGTTCTAGGGTTAGGGTTCCAGGGGAGGGCGGTGCGGCGGGGAGGGAGGAGGTCGTAGGGGAGAGAGGGAGGGTCGTCGTCGAGGTGGCGGTGGTGGTGGTGAGGGTAGGTGGCAGCGGCGGTGGCGGTGGAGGGAGTGGTGAAGGGGAATTGTTGTGGTTGTTGTTGCTGCTGCTGTTGTTGTTGGGGTTGGGTTTGGGGTTGGGGAGGGGTGCGGTGGTGGTGGTGGTAGGGTAGTGGCGGGGGCGGCGCCGGGGGCGGAGGAGGGAGGTTGTAGCGGGTGGTGCGGTGGTCTTGAGGGTGGTGGTAGTGGTGGTGGTGGTGGAGGAAGTGGTGTTGATCCATGGATTGAATCTGAGATATGAGAAATGCGGTTGTTAAACCTATTTTCTATCCTTTTATTCTTTATTCAATTCAATTCAATTATTGGGTAAGGCTTGCGTGTTCCTTTTCTTTTCTCTTCGGATTGGGTTTACCTTTCAACTCAACAACCTCTTCTCTTCTGTTTCATACCCTTTTTACTCTTTGCATCTAAAAAAATATATATATTATTTATCATTATTTTATAAGATAAATTATTAAAAAATGTATATCAAATTTTACATAATTTTAATAATCTTAAATACATTTATACATATCTTAAATATTATATACTAAATAATTATAAAATTATGTGAATTTCAATATAAATAATCTTAAATATAAAAAAAAAATATTTATAAAATTTAAGATTTAGTGTATGTTTGAAAACGCGTTAAAAAGTTAAAAATCATCTCAATTTATCTAAAAAAAAACGTGAAAATTATAATTGTTAACTTCTAATTGAATGTGAAAAGCTGGTTGAAAAAGTGGAAGTAAACACACTATTAGAATTTAGATACCAATTCTTGGATGTGTGTAGCAGCTAGTTGTGCAAGTGGTCCTGGTCCAAAGAAAATTGAAGCTAATTTGGGCAAGAGAAGCAACATTGTTCATTCTTGACAAAGGGGTTGAGCCGTTTGTACAATTTACCAAAGGAAGATAATTCATGGAAAGAGGATAAAGAGTGAGTTTATTGCATGAGTTTGAGGCCAGATTGGAGGTGGCAAGAGTGCAAGAATCACAAAGATTCTGATATTGGGAAAGTATTCAGGTTTCAAAGAGATGGAAGCATTTCAAGTTTTTCATCTTGTGCTTCTTGGAAACAAGATAACAAAGAGTGGTTCTGATTGTTTAGATGCAAATAACTCTGTGCATCAGAATGGAAATACTTACCATTGTTTGCATGCAAATAATCCTGTTATATATATACTCACCCTAAATCATCAATTTAACCGTTTAAAAGATAATAAGATTTAATCCAGTTTTTAAAATAAAAGTAAAACTATAATTTAACCTAAAAAGATAAAAGGATACAAGGGATGGTGTTGAGATGATAAGAAAGGATTTTTTTAGATAATCTTAACAAACAATTATTTGAGTTTAAATTTTTAAAATTTGAATTTTTGAAATATCTACGTGTGATTCTATTCTTATTTTTATATAATAAATATAAATGTGAGTCATTATAATGAAAGAAATAATATTAAGAAACTCTTACAATTATCTATTTTTTATATTATAAATTTGAGTGCATATATTTAAGGAGATAAATTTTAGGAATTATTATTCAAATATAATATTTTTTAAAAAAATTATCGAATTAGTTATATAATTAAAATAACTAAAGTCATTATTTTTATGAAATATTTATTTACAATAATCAATTATGACTTAAACATTATAATTAGTATTACAATAATATTTTTTTATTTTAATTAATTTACTAATTGATAACACATATATATATAGTAACGGATACAGAAACTTTAGATAGTGGGGGCAAAACTTATTTACATATTTGTAATATTAAAATTTTACATGTAAATTTTAAAAGTATAAATTTATATCATAATTATTTTTTACAAGTTTTTATATCCATTATTATGATTAAGGATAAAAATAAATTAGGTTAAACTAGGTTATATTATAATTTAATAGGTTTAAACCTAACTTTTTTAAAAATACATGTCCTAAATATGACTTATTTATCTATCATAGACATTTTTTAAATGTTTGGTTAGAACTACAATCTTAAAGACCTACTTTATAATAATTTAACACTAATAAAAATATAAAAATAAATATGTTAAATCTTATAAAAATCAAGTTTGATTTATTTATGATATAAACATGTTTTTAACATATGATATAAATTTTTAGATGATAATTTATTTTAAAACATATTTTATAATAAAAATTCTAAATAGAACATAAATTTTTAATATTTTCTAATTTGATTTTTTTAATCAACATATACAATCTCACTATCTTTACTATTTTGATCTTTTTAATCAACATATATAATAAATTGAAAGCATAAAAAGTAATCATACATGTTGCAAATTTTATTTTATCAAAAAATATTTTTTTAATATATTATATTATATATGTGAGCATTAATATATATATATATAATTATAATTAAAATTAAAAAAAAAAGTTATTCATTATTAAGAAGTATTTTTTATCACATATGAGAATTAATCTCCTTCGAAAGTTTGACAAATATCAAATAAATAAACACCTTATCCAAATTTATATTTTATATATAGGATAATTTATATATATATATATATTAAAATATAACTTTTATTTTTAAAATATATTATTTTTTAATATATATATAACTCCAAGCGTGTGGTTCAGCGGTAGGGGTTGATCCACGCTTAAGCAAGGTCAGGATTTCGAATCCTGCCTTGTGTATGTAGCCGCTTTAAATCTTGGTGCTAGCTATCCCACTATTTGAGGTACCTCCAACCTAGCGAGCAGATTAGTCACTATTATTGGTCATGGATACTCCGGGGACGAACTAAAAAAAATAAATAAATATATATATATATATATATATATCAATTTTTAATAACTTAAATTAAAAAAAAATCTCTCGAGAATTTTTTTTAAAACAAATGGACCTTAAGAAATTATCTTCCTAAAATATAAATATTTTTCAATTTTAATTTATAAAAACTCTACAAAAAGAAATCTCTTGATGTGATAATTATAAAACTTGTCTTAAAATAGGAAAGATTGATCTAGTGCTCTCTTAATCATTCAATGATATGAAATTGAATGTTATAAGATCTAAAAAAAATTCTTCAGTTGAATACGAGTTTACACAAATTTCTTATTTTTCACCCACATTTGACCCATCATATCCTTTTTTAATCGATATTTTACTTTATTCAATACGAGACTTAAGTTTATGCTTCCCGGCCAACTTTTTTTTAAGTTGATTTATTCGGATATAGCTCCTAGTCCTAATAGATTGGTGAAATTAAATAATATTAACAATATTTTTTAATAAGCGTGAATTTAATATTTTTTTATATTGGAAAGGAGATGGAGTATTATTTAAATCTTTAATTCTCTTGATGTTCTTTTAAGATATTTTACATATCAAACTCTAGCTTGTGAGATGCTTTGATGTCCATAGATATGTAATAAACATTTTGATCTTTATCAAAAGTTTCATTTTATCCAACTACTTTGAATATTGTGCACACTTAACAAGCACATCAATGTTTTCATCTAACTCTTGAAATTCTTTGTTATTCAACGAAGTTTAAATTAGCAAATTTACGTGTTTATAATAAATACTCTTTAAATCTATATCTATTACAATAGATAAAATGGATATTAACTGTAACGACCCGGCTGGTCACTGCACACAACACAGTACACCTGAAAATCGGACAGAAAAGAACAAGTGCATACATATAGTGTCTAGAATATACATATATACATGGTCCAAATCTGATTAGATTCAAAATGTACAAAAAATACAACCAAACTACTACACCAAGTAGCTGAAACAACAAAACATCAACTAAAGTCAGCTTCGCCTGCCAGTTGCAGACTCACCACTAGCCACCCACCTATCCCTGCTCTGCTCCCATACATAGTATGATCATCGCAGTCCAAACCACATGGAAACAACAAGGGTAAGCTAGTATCAAAAGAACAACATATAGCAAAATTTAAGTAATATGTCAACTACAACTATCAACACTACGTCAGCATACGTCTCATCGGTTGTACAACATAATCAGCAATAAGCACACAATGCGTCGTCACGCATATCAACTCAGAGATCTCCTACAACAACTCAGCCTTACGGCCTACAACAACTCAGCCTTACGACCTACAACAACTCAGCCTTTCGGCCTACAACAACTCAACCTTTCGGCCTACAACAACTCAGCCATTACGGCCTACAACAACTCAGCCATCACGGCCTACAGCAACTCAGCCATTACGGCCTACAACAACTCAGCCAACATACAACACAGCACAACTTTACAGCACAACACATCATCTTACAACACATCAACACATCTTACAACAATATTCATCTGATACAGCTCAACATCATCAACAACATTATCTACTAGTCATCACATCATATTCATCCATTTCAACTCAACTCAGCATAAAACAACATTAACCAGCATATAGTAAAATCTCATCTCCGCGCCCGGCGCCCTCGTGGTTGCGCCCAGCGCGATACAACCAAAGAGCACCAAGGGGCCAACACGCCCAGCGCAAGCATGCCCGCGCCCGGTGGGACCCAGCCAGAGAGCCCAAGGCTCACTTGCACCTGGCGCAATACCAATTGCGCCCAGCGCATGCCAGACAGAGACTCCATGCAGTCTCCCGCGCCCAACGTGCCCAAACCCACGCCCAGCGTGGGGAAGGCAGAGACCTCCAGAGGCTAACATCCTCAAGCACGCCCGGCGCACACATCTTTGCGTCCAGCGGCTTGCCTAAATGCTGCCCTCAGGTGGTTACGCACCCGGCGCGAAGAACTGCGCTCAGCGCGAGCTCAGCACCAAACCCCATACTTTCAAAAATCTCATCAAAACCTGCAAAATAACCAGGAAACTCCACATGCAATCCATCCAAGATACTACATTTTCATTCAAGAGTTCAAAAACCACCTCGTTTTACACATGCAATCACCATCAAGAAAACCTCATGATTTTCATCAAAACCCCGGAAACCCCGAAAACCCATTTTCATCAAAACAGCTCAATATTATACAAAACGACTTAAATATCATGATTCAGCATGAACATTCCACAACACAACTCATCATTAATCAGCTCAACAACGAAATTCAGCATTAGCATCATACAGTACGGCTCAGCATTACATCATTAACAGCATAAACAACATACTTCACAACTCGACTTTTCATCATATAACATTAACAACATTAATCAGCATAATCAACCACTTTACAACATAAACATGTCCACACCTATAGTAACTTATCAACTTAACTTCAACTAGCTTCCCTTACCTGA